TGATGACAAAACCTTGTCGAAACGTTGTACATTTGCTGTTATATTAAAGTTTTTCTTCATTACCCATTCAAGCCGTCTCCAGCCATAATTAGTATTCTGTTCAGCAGTACGAGTTTATTTTAGCATAAACATGCATATATTGTGAAAACAACACTTACCAAATATTGTTAGTAATAAACAAACAAGCACTGGGTTACAGAGTAAACAGATAATACAACTGCTACAGTTATTTATTACATAAAACAAAAGTTAAATGTCAAAAGCTGGTGAAGCATTAAAAATCAATAGGCCTAAAATTTAAAAATCACGTTTACTGTAGTTTTTTTCCATATTACTCGTACTTTGTCCATTGCTGTTAATCCGTACATTTTAAAAGTATCATACGGTGCATATAAATAAAGTTTCAGAGAATCGTGTTGGACCTATCGCCCAGCCCAACTGACGTGTAATGGTAATGAACGAATGACCTCTTGGGCAGTTACTTGTGGAAGACAAAATACAGATCTGAATTTTTTTTCCCCACTTCTTATTTTGAATTCGAGATGAATAGAGAAGTTGAGAAGAATTTAAAAATACATCTTCAGTTAACGTGGCTCATTACTAACTTTAGGCCTATCATTCAATAAGAAATACGTCTAAAATATTAAACAATAGAAACACAACAATACAGTGAAAAAACAAAAACACGTTCGTTAATAGAATTAAACATACCAGCATTGTTGTTCTTAGATCAAATTTGTGGAAGAACTGCGTGATAAAGATATGAATTTCCAAGACATTGGTTACGTCTTTTCTCTCTACGTCCCTAAGGACGTCAATAAACCACTCAAAGTGACGGTGGGAAGGACAAATCCACAGAAAGTACACCTATAAACAAAAGATTTTCCATTTACTGATCTTCACATACTACTTTAAGTAAACATTGTAACATATACCCTCTTCTGTATAACGCTAAAAATCAGCGTTCAATTCCTGCTCAACAAACAAAGTTTTTTAAATTAAAGTGTTGCAATTATTTCACTTCTAAAAGAGATTGTTTTCGAAATGTTTACTTTGCTGTAAGTATTTTAACACGAGTTGTTTGAAAATAAACGTTTTCAACTTGAGAAGAACAAATCTGATACCAATATATTCTTATTCCAAGACAACTCTAACACCAAAAAAAGTGTTTTGCGTATTTTACGAACCAAACTTTAATTACAAACCAAACCTTTTTGCAGGCAACCCCTGAATATCTGTTGGTGGACGTGCCGAAAACAAGATCGTTCAAAATAGACGCGTAAGGTGTAACACCTATTCCTCCCCCAACCATGACAGCGACTTCAAATTTATACCAGTCCTGGTTGCCTCCCCCGAACGGTCCCTCCAGTCGAATCTTTGAGGTAAAAAAACAAAACAAAATCAATAATTAGGTTAGAGAACACAAAGCAAGGTCAACAAATCACAAATTATTCTGTTGTAATACCGGTTATTCTTGGTCCACTGAAGGCAAATTATCCTGCTGTAATACCGGTCTTTCTTGGTCCACTGAAGGCAAATTATCCTGCTGTAATACCGGTCTTTCTTGGTCCACTGAAGGCAAATTATCCTGCTGTAACACCGGTCTTTCTTGGTCCACTGAAGGCAAATTATCCTGCTGTTATAACGGTCTTT